GGGCACTGCACGGGAGACCCGAGAGGCATGTGCTGAGAAAGCCCACCCCCGCTTTGACGGAGCCGGACAGCAATCTGGAGCCCAGTCTGGCCCAGGGCAGGAGGACTTCAAGGGGGAGCCTGGCTAGCTGGGGAGGGTCAGCACAAGGGCAGGGGTGTTGGGAGGAGCTTGGGGGTGGGCCGGAGGCTTGGCCTGTTCTTCTGTATCCAGACGCCTGGGGGCCCAGCCCTGTCCCCTGGCCTCCTGCCCACCAGCTGCCACAAAGCTGGGAGGAATCTGCTTTGCATTATCAGAGGAGCTGCCTCCCCCAGGCATATGGTCAGCAGACCCCCAGCCCAGAGCATCGCGGGAAATGTCTTCCATTGACCCCAGAGCTGATCCTCCCCTTTTTCCCTGGAGCATCGGGCTACCGGCTCAGGGGGCTCCCCCACCTCGGGCCCCTCCCCACTGAGTGAGGAGGCTTTCCCATGGTTCCAAGTCTTGTCTCAGCTTCACTGCCCTGGATGAAAGAGGGAGAGAGGCACCAGGAGAAGGGAGGGAGCCCCCGGGGGCCCACAAAGGTGAAGGGTCGCGTCCCCCAGCCTAGAGAATAAGGGAGGCACAGAGCATCCGGGCCTGAGCCGAAAGGAGAGAGGCCTTTGGGGTAGTGGTGGGGAGGAGGTGGGAGGACTGCAGGCCTCAGGGCCAAGGAGGCTGATGGCACAAAGGGGTCTCCATCTGTCCTTTGAGTGCACTGGGGGCTCAGAACAAGTCTCAACGTCCTGGGTGGGGACCCCCAGCCCCATGTGGCCACTGAGCACTTGAGACAGGGCTAGTCCAAACTGATATGTGCTCCGAGAATATCATGCACACCGGATTCGGAAAACATAGTAGGACCAAAAAAAGTCACATATTTTATTAATATTTTGAAAATATTGATTATATGTTGAAATCATATTTTAGATTATTGGGCTAAAGAAAATATATTATTAAGTTCCCCTGTTTCTTTTTGCTTGTGTAATGTGCCTACTAAAGATTTCAAATTACATATATGTGATTTGCATTTTATTTTTATTGGCGAGTTGCCTCAGATCACACTCATTCATTTGTTCCGCATAATTTTATTGAGTGCCAACTATATGTCAAGCAAGGTGTTAAGGATTAGAAGGTGAGCAAAACCAGACCCTGTCCCTGGTTTCCTGGAGTTTATAGTAATCAAATAATCACTCAGACGGGTGCCTAATTACAAAGAGAGATTAAGTGGTCTAAAGAGAGGGAGTGAGCATGGTGTTCTCTAAAGCCTGAGTTGGGTCCCTAGTTTGCTGAGGGCTTCCAGAAGGAAGTACTAGGCTGAGGACACTGGGAAAGGAGGGAAAAGAGCATTCTAGACAGAAGAGACAGCATGTGCAAAGGCCCTGTGGCTAGAGAGAACAGCCCAGCTTGAAAAAGTATAAAGCTGGTTAGGAGGAGGGAGGAAGAGGATGGCTGGAGCGAGGCAGTGAGTCCGGGGAGCCGGCCGGGGCCCACAGGGACCGAGGCCATGGCAAGGATGGGACGTCGATGGAGCACTTCAGCTGTGGAGACAGACTCGAGAAGGAGGGCTGGAAGGCAGGCAGGAGGACTTCTCCACAGCGTGGCGAGGGAAGGTGGTGCAGAGGGCTTTCTCTTGTGCATCTCCGAGCCTCTTTGCCCCCAGCCCCAGGAGGCTCAGGCTGGTGTCAGCCACTCCCCACCCCCACATAACCCACTTGCTCTGAGGAACTCTTTGAAACCCCCTCTTCCTGCCATCCCTGAACTACCTCCTTGACTTCAGGCTGCCGCTGGCTTCCCCCTCTGAGCCTACCCTGCCCCGTCCCCCACTCCACCCCGCAGCCAGAGCAAGTGTTTTCTAAAGTGCAGGTCTGGGGGTGGCACCCCTCTACTGAAGACCCCCCGAGGGCTCCCCAGGGCTCTAGGAGTGTATCCAGACGCCCTAGCATGTCTCCTCACCAGCCCTTCCCTGTCAGGCCCCAAAGACCCCTTGCGGTTTGCTGGGCTCCAGGCCCAGCCTCCCCAGGCCCGGGCCTCTGCTGAGTTGATTCTTCTGCCGGAAGCACTCTCTTCCTCTGGCCTGTCAACTCCGCTCATCCGTGAGGGCTCAGCTTCCACAGCCCTCCTGTGACAAACCTTCCCTGAGCCCCAGTGTGTGGTGGGTCTCGGCTGGGTCCCCACTCGCCCCTGCCATGGCAGTGCACAGCACACAGGGCCTGTTGCGCCTCCCTCGAAGATGTAAGCTCTCCAAAGGCAGGGGCTTGTGTCCCTGAGTTCCACAGGACAGTATCTGGCTTTCTACCACCCAGGCGAGAGAGCTACTCTCAGGGCAAAGAGTGTGTTTCCCCCATCAGAATGGGGGTTCCCTTAGGAGAGGAATGGTGCCTCCTTCATCAGATTGGAGTATTTGCAGGTCTGGAACTGTCTCCTCCATCAGATGGGCTCCCTCAAGACAGGGACTGTCTTCCCTGTCACACTGGGGGTTTTCGGAGTACTAGAATTCTTTCTCTTACTTATTCTGGGTCCCTCCTCCATACCCACCGTCTTCTTCACAATCCTCAGTCTGGGGGCAAAGGGGGGAATGGAAGACAAAGAGCCTCCCTTTGCCCCATGTCTGACGCTTGGCAGGGGCTGGCTGGCCCTCCTCCCTGGATCTGGAGGTCTGGAAGGCTTGTTTGCTGTTCTTACTGGAAGAGCAAGCCTCCACCAGCCTTCCCCTGTGACCATAAGCCAGTCCCACCGGAGGACCTGGCCAAGTGACCGGCAGGGGCTGAGCAGCTCTGACCACCTGCCCTGCCAGCCTTGGAGAGGGGCACAGGCCAGGGGCCAGGAACCGTGCAGCCCCAGGAGCTCCCAGGCGTGGGCCAGGCAGGGCTCAAAGCCAGGCTGGCAGGAGTCAGGGTTAGGACCTGCCCACAAGAGTCGCGAGGGAGGGGCCCAACTCCAGGCCATCTGGAGCCAGATTGTGAGTGTGTGTGTGTCTGTCTCTCTCTCTCTCTCTCTCTCTCTCTCTCTCCCTGGCCATGTGGGTGGCTGGGAGCTGCAAGGTTGTGACCTGGCCCTCCTAGCAAGCCTCTGGCTCCCTTGTGGTCAGTTTCACTCCAGATATCTGGTCAAGTTCACAGCTGCCCAGCTTCCTGCACCGTCATTTTCACTTTCCCTTCCCAAGATCTGGGAGCAAAGGGCCCCCACTCCTTCCCCACCCCATGTAAGTGAACTCCATGGCTACACATGTGAACTTGCTGAATTTCTGTTGAAACTTCCCTGCTTGGGGGTGGGAATAGGACAGGAACTCACAGAGTTGGAAATTATACCTGGGTCCCTGCCACACACCCAACCACCCCAACCAACTCAAACCACATGTATTTCCAGAAAATCTCTTGGCGCTATTTTTCTTTCTTTGTTATTTAATGTTCATCACTTATGTTTTATGTGTAGGTCTTGGAAGGGCCTGAGAAGTGATTACACAGGAGGCAAGGGGGAGGTGACAGGAAGGGTTACAAGGTTCTGGAGCTAGCGGCCCCAGCGGGGGTCCGAAAGGGTTCCATCTCAGCCCAAGGGGAGCCAGGAGGGGGCCCAGAACCAAACACATGCTAAAACATACTTGCAGCCCCCCAGTCCCCTCCCCAACTGCCGGAGAGGAAATACACTCAGACGCTGTCCCTCCCCCTGGACGCACAGGTGAGGGGCCAGCACATGAGTTTCCTTTCTCATCACAGACGGAGGTCAAAGAAATGCTGTCTATACAATGCTCCTAGTCCCTTCTACAGGGTTGGGAGAACCCTGGGCCGGGGAAGGGAGACTACCAGGGCACAGCAGGCCTGGGCCTCGGACATGCTAAATACAGAGGAAGCCACACTCATTCCAACATCAAGCACAATGTAACAGGCCAGGGGAGCGATGGAAAGGTCACAGAGACCTTACGTCCCCTTTCTGGTCAAGCTAAGGGAAAAAACAGTCCTTTGCGGGGTCCTCTCAAGTTGGGAGAAACCCCCGTATGGGTCACAGTCTAACTCAGTTCCTTCTTGCTGCATTCCCACGTTTCTTCATCACAACCTTCTGGGCCCAGCCAAACCCATGCCTGCAGGGAAGGGGAGGACGGGAGAGCATTCCTCCATGTGCAGACCCCAGAAGACGGACGCCAGCCCAAGCCTCAGCATTCCTTGGCCCGCCAAACCCGGGGGCCGGGGAAGACAGCCCAAGCAGATCTCAATTCCCTCGGAAGCTTCTCTGGCAGGATCCAGTCTCAGCCCAAGAGGAGGAACTCGCGGAGAAAAGCAACAATTCTCACCCTCTGCGTGTGTCCGTGTTCATCTGGGTGTTGCAGGGCGAGGGGTCCTTAGTCCCCGACCCCTAGGGCTGATTCTAGGGGCCACTGTTGGCTTCGGGTCTGTGCCAGGACGGAGGGCAGCAGACTGGGGCCACACCACAGATGCCACACTGGCATGCCCGAGGGAGATGGACAGAGGGAAGCAGCATCCCCTTCCTCAAACCCCAAACCTGACAAGATCTTGAAGGGTCCATGGACCAGGCCTTGGGGGGGGGTAACTCCCCAGGGGCTGGAGAGGGGTCTGGAGCCAGTGGAGGGTGGAGCCGACTTGGCTTTGAGACACTTCCCAGGTGGTCGCCTGGGACCCTACCCTGTTCCCAGGCAAACCTGAGGCCCCTTGTTTAGAGAGGAGGGTGCCAGCCTACGCTTGGCCTTCCCATTGCAGGGGGGCTTTGAGCAAGTCACTCTGTGCCTCACTGTCCTGTATGTAAAATGAGGGGAGTGGACTGCGTTTCAAAACCCCCACCTAGCTCTGCCAGGCCTCTGACCCTCTCTTCATCTTAGGCCAGAGAGGAGAGGGGGTGGTGGGGGGCTGAGGGTGCTGAGAGAGGGTTTAGGCCACTGGAATGCTCCCTTGTTTCCCAAATTCACAGTGTAGAGTCCGTGGCTCTGGTTCCTCAGCACCTCCCTCTGAGTCTCTGGGGCCTTGTCACTGCTCCCCAGTGCCATCCCTGGTGTCAGCCCCCTAGATAGGACACCTGCTGGGGTGGGAGGGGGCTGGCCCACCTAGCATGCGTGGAGGAGGGGCACAAGGCCTGAGACAGCGATGGGGCAGGGGCCGGGGCAGGGCGGGGAAGGCAGCAGGGGCACGTCTCTCGCTGGACAGGGCGTGTGGTCAGAAGTGGAGGAGCCCCCCGGGGTGCAGCCACAGGGCTGTGGTTTGGGGCCTGGACTCCGAGGCCCCACCCAGAAGAGCTCAGCTCTGCCAGGCTGGACCACCCCAGGCGGGGACGTCTCCGTGGGGGTTGACTGGAGCTTCGGTCGTCGGAATGCTGGGGCGGGGCTGGGGCTCCTGGGTCGGCTCACACCGGGGACGTGGCCGTGGACTCGCTGCACAGGCTCTCCACGATGTCGGCTCGCTGGATGCGGCGCAGAGCGGCCAGGAGGGCGTCGAGGGTGGCGCTGTCCTGGGCAGCCCAGCTGGCGAGCAGGGCGCGGACCGGGCAGGCCTCGTGGGTGAAGGAGTCTATGTGCTCGGGCTGGTAGCCCAGCTCGCCTGCCAGGTGCCGCCAGGTGTCTCCCGCGGAGCCATTGAGCAACTTCTCCACCTCCTCCCGCTTGGCCGGAGGCAGGTTGCTGTAGAGGCCTCCGTCACCCTTGAGGGCTGTGGAGAACGCAAAGGGTGTCAGGTCCCGCCCCTGTGCCCCTCGTCCCCCGCAGCGGGCACAGGGGCCTGGAGTGGACCCAAGGAGGGCCACCGCTCCTCCCCACCAGGGGCCCAGAGGCAGAGGGGCGGCCAAGATGAGGTCCTGGCTGGGCGCTGGGCAGTGACGGGCCTGGGGGTTGCTGACTCATTGTCTTTTCCTCCCCGTGGCTCCAACAGGATCCCTGCCCCAACCTCCTCCCCCCCCAGCAATTAATCAAGGCAAAGGAGGAGACAGGACTTAGTTCCAGACAACTGCAGCAAGTGTCCTGGAGCCGGGCTATGGGCCACTAATTAGGGTACATATTTAACGACTTGTTCCCCAGAAGTCCAGGGCAGGAGGCTAATTGCAGCTACTTTGGGCAGTAATTAGCCCCCAGGGGGGACAATTAGCTTGATGAGTCTGGCTGGTTGCTCCGACTTGTAAAAGCCTCCATTTCCCAAGTCCATCTACCAGGGAGGACCTCTTCCTTCCACTCTCCCCTGCCAGCCTCTCTCCAGTCAGCCTCTCCATCATCATGTCAGCCCCTCTGACAGTCCTTCCTGGAG